CGCAATAGAAACTTAACTACACCAAGAGTACAGTTCAATATCCCCTCATCACGACCATCAATCCTTCTAGACTTTTCAAATAATACGGTACAAAGCACCCCTCCACCGTTTTGAAATATTTTTGAACAAAACACATCTTAAACTTGAAGATTGTAAAAATGAATTCAATCGATTAAAAATAGTTACAAACAAAAAAATCGTAACTTAGTCAAATTTCAGGTTTTTCAGACTGCATATCAAGCACAAAATGAACACAATCAAGGTCATGGGAAACTAGAAAAAAAATTCCCGTATCATGGCGCACATGGCCGTTTAATTTGTAACATACGCGACAAAAATGGATACCTCAAATTGGAATCAAGAAACCGTCAAACTGTAAAGCAGAATTTAAAAATTCAGGTTACCAAGGAATAATCTTTTTTGATTGGAAAAATCAACTGGAAAAAGAAGAATTATCACGAGATTTAAAAGACGATACAGTACTATACCAAGGCTTTCGCTTAACTTGTAAAAACGATCAAAGATTTTGCGATCTCACTACACAAACACAGGCAACCATAGATTCCCTAAAGACACATGTACCACCTTCCAAGTTGCTAAGATTCCCGCAAGAATGATGAAGCTTCAAAAAGTATTCTTTATGGAGTCTATTCTCCTTCATAAATTAAATCCTGACCAAACAAGATCAAATCCAAATCAATATAAGAAAATAGTATAGACATGGAATAGAAAGTTAATTAATACGTTTTTAAATTTACCCTGCAACTGAAGTAGCACGCAAAAACCCAAACACAATACTCAAAATTTCCTGTTGAATACAAAAACGGTTTCGACATAAAAACAGGCAAACTAGCTCTCGGTAATTTAACCAAATCAAAATAGAGATGACAAAAAATCTTACATCCCAGTAACGTTTTATAAAAATGACGGAAACATTGGAGGTGAATTTCTTCAAGAAAACAAAGATAGTGCAAGATTACAAGAACTTTCCCATATTGTTTGGCGCAATCCACTTTGATACTCACCTCAGAACCTTCATTTCATTCTGTCCACATTGAACCTTCACGTGGGTACAGAGTTTTTATTAAACAAAAACAACCTAACGTTACACCACAATTTCTCATAAGTCGCCCACGATCATCCCGACTTTATTCACACTACCCACGAACACCAACACACAAGACTTCTTAATACATAATATACCATTCTTCTCTCAATACGCCTTCTATAATGGAGAAAATAAATCCAACGCGCACAATACGTAGATGAATGTTCACTACTCCTAGCACTTTCATGGACTTTCTACTTTGCTAATCCACTAAAAAGACCTTTAAATAATAACCCCACTGATAACGAATTTTGTAACCCTCTCCTTCGTCAACTAACTACTGCACTCCACCTCCATAGGCTTAAATCAAATGCGAAACCGATTTATTGCACAAAAAGCTAATAGATTTTCTATTAACCACTAAGACCACACTGTAACTAGATAAATTCCCCATATGACGACGACCCTAACATCAACCCACAATTAACCGAGAAATTCTTCATAAAATCTGATTATTTCTTTCATCTTGACAGCATAAATCAAAAAACTCGACCACATCATAGGTCACGCACTAACAAAAACTACAGCTCACGAACCCTTTTTCAACAAATTCAATCTAACATTTAACTTTCTCACACTAACAGAAAGAGGTATTCACTGCTCGCGTGAGGTTACGTTAAAAACTAAATTAGCTCACACATATACATGTTATAAATTGATCAAAAGCACTTTCATACACAGCTCCCCAACCCATTACCCACAACATTGCTTCAAATTTGTCAACTCAAAATACACATCACGCTGTTTCTTAAAGTTCACGTATTACACTGAAGGTACTAACTTGCACGGCATCCTCCGTAATTACGAAACTGTACGTCAAATGTAAATATTCAACCCTTAACAAGCACCTTACCACTAGAAGACCCCCGTCCCATCATCATTCCCCACAATTATAAAAAACGCATCGAAGTAACCTTATTAGAAAACATACACAATTTCAAATTTAACCATCAGCTTTATAACCTAATACAAGACTCAAATCACGAAGTTTTAGCTAATACCGAAGAAGTAAAATATCATCAGTGCGCTTGAACTTCTTTGGCCACTGCTTCGCAGTAAAAACATAATACGCATGTTTGCTAAGCTTTAAGTAACCCCGACACCGTTAAAACTCACTTTCCCTATGGATTTTTCTCTGACCCCGGATCTTCGTAAGTATATTTATTATTGTTATTACTAACACTAAATCATAAAAACATTTTTTTTCATCTTTTCTTTTTTAGATGTAACCCAGCAATCATCTGAAATAATCAAATCATTTTCAAAACAAAAAATTTCCCGACTAGTGCTTCATAATTCAAACTATGTTTCATATATTCATATGTGTAATAGAATTTATTGTAAACGCAATAAAATGATAATTCTGTAGTAAAAATCAAAATTTGAAGTAGTAAATAAATAAAGAAAAGTAATTTAATGAACACTAAACTTTTTATGCGCGCTTCTTTTGTAGAACTCGAATAATTGACATTCACTTGTCCACATTACACGCACCCTTTCCACTTAAATATGCAACTCGCCCTCGTAGAATTAATTATTAAACGAATTTCAAGTTCTAGAAACTAACTGATAACAACTTTAACGCCCTCACGCCGTTCAATTTTTCCCTTAGCCCGGTTGGGAGATGTTATTAAAAACTTAAAGTAACCACCGCAGCTTATTAAACCCATGAAACCAACCGCATGTATGAGAAGGTCCCATGATACTTCAACCAGATTAAACCCAGATTAAAACTGGATACGTTTTTTTTTTAAACCCACTTTCAGATTTATTAAAACCACTTGAAACACTTAATTTTCAAAAGAACATTGAACACGACATTTTGTTTTTGATAAAGGACACAACCAAAAGAACAACAGATAAAAACACCTGAATAGAAAGAACAAAAAGTTGAACAGGAAAAGAGGCTCTGCTCAAAGAGATTATAAATACACACACCTCTGATCTCAATCACCCCGCTCCAAGTACCCATGTTCTAAGACCCCGACCCACAATTTTTACTTTTTACTTATAGTAGCTCTAGGGTGAGCGACTCTTTATAATAACAACCCTAATAAAACGCTTTTGCGAAAATAACCAATAAAAATCATAACTGAAAACGATATCACTAACAAAATGTAGATACAAATATGCAATGTAAAAAGCTTCCTTCGAGCAAAAAGAAACGAGCAGCAAAGGGAGAAGAAAACTCGATGACATTCCAATTCTGGAATGGCAAGTCTATTGGTTTGTTGCCGATGTCACAACCCTCATAGGATTTAAAGTATGGACACAATATCGCACAAACAGTACCCATTGAAAAAGAACAATGGCCACTTGATGTTGATCTCACATACGAATCCGCCTCACTTGGCAATCAACACATCATTGCATAAATCTGAAAACCTAACACGATCACTCAACACGATCCAAATACGCAAGACCCATTTCTGAAAAACGAACGACTGTATTCCTCCTCTCTATGAAGACAACTACTCCACAACACGAGCAACTGTTACTTTCTCCGCATTCACGCAGCCACTGCATCAAACGAATCTACTCTATGAATCAAAGATTTTCACCATCCATCCTTTACTACAATAAACAATTAAACTTATAACTCTCTAAGCCCCGGATGTGTGGAACCAGTTTAAAAGTGGTCTTTATATCCAATCATATTATTGATAAAACTATCCCTGTAAAGTATTTCTAACTAACCAATCATGATGCTTAACTAACACTTACAATAAATTGTATAGCTGAAACTATTCATAAATTTAGCAAACAGAACAGAATAAATATAATGCAGCAAACAGTCGTTCTCCTTCAGAACAGTTCCTGATATCTTACGAAGAGACGGTGTACCTTATCTGAAATTACTCTATGAGTGAGCCACCCGGACATAAAATCACTTTAAGAAAAAAATATCACTAATGGCTTCTTCCATTGATAAAAGGGCTCAAATATACGTAACGTACAATTTTGCTGACAAATACCCGAACAATCCGAAGTTAATCATTCACTCGTTTCAATTTCGAATCACTGATGAATCGTCTAAGTTCTTCAGTAATCAATCAAAACAACTCTTCCGAAAAAAAAATGATTCACGCAATTCACATAATTTTACATATTATCTCCGAGGAGAATTAAAAAAATACTTAAGATCAAGTATAGCCGGTTGCCGTTCAAAAAATACAGAACAATTCGACCACGTTTTAAAAAAAGTTAAATTTTTATTTCGAAAGGACAGTTTTGTGCATGGTATGGGGAAAAAATTTTTAAGAACGCTTATAATATTAACAATGGCCTCTATTGATTTGAATTAGATTGCAAAAATTAGCAGGACAATTTTTAATGAGGTTGCTTGGTGAATAGAGTAAAAACAACTTGAAAAAACTAAAGCATATCCTCTAGTTTCTCTCTACTTTCAGTCATCAGAATTTTCATTAAAAGAAGAGATAATTTCAGCCAATTGATGGTGTCTTAATGTATTATCCCGACTGACGTCTGAAGTCAAATATGGGCTTTTGAAAAAACTCGTCATACACCTTCTATGCTATGAATTTTACTATAGCAATTTGCCCACAAAACGTGGCGACGAAACAGTAATATTTTAATAAAATGAATTCTATTTTTGTTTTCATTTTGTTTCATTTTTGTTAATTTGTTTCATTTGCATGCCAAAACAAAAATTTTTCCAAAAGGTAGTCCAGCCACTCACAAATTTCAAAAGCATGTTGTTTTACGTTTCTTTTTTGCATTCAACAGAAACTCAATTTCTACTCAGTGACCAATTCTTACTCTGTTGGTCAAATTTATGCAAAAATTAAACCGGCAGATAAAACTGCAGCAGACATTATGCCCCAATTTTTAGAACTTTTGGTTAATTTCTTTTTTTACCACAGAGCTAGTTTTTAGTCAAGAAAGAAATATGATAATACAATTTAGTTTTAACCTGTAAATGGCTATCATCGATTACTGCATTTGAAGACAAGCACACACAAACAGAGAGAAAAAAATCTGTTAAATGAGTCTTAGTGTCAACCAAAATTGTAAGCAGTGTACAATTACTAAAAAAATCAAGACATTGCAGATACTCTTCGCTTAACTTCCTGCGAAGTGTCAAAGCATTTGAGTTCTTATTGTTCATTTTAGTGGATGTTGGCATGCGATTCGTGTTGTCTTCTGGAGTTTGTCATTCAAGGTCCAGTCAGCCGGCGCTTCAGCTCTCTTCTAAAAAAAGTATGCTTTGAAACGTTGGTAGAAACTCAAAAGTAGTTTTTCATTGCTGATTTGCTGCAAGTAGAAAAAAGTAAAACTCGTTCTTTCAATCTCCTAATGTTTAAATTAGGGGCGAATCTAGATTTTTCTTGAAAAAGAGGGGCCGGTTTTTGAAAAATTTCATGTGACCAGCGACTACAATGACAATTTTTTTTTTTGCTTTTTCGTAGACACATAAAATAGCCACTAAGCTTTTGGTACTCATGTCGGCAAATCCTTTAAAAGCGCGGGTCCACCTAATCTCTAGCGGCGCGAAAACGATATTTTCTCTAATTATTTTTTTCTGAAGCCGTGATCTCTGATCACTTTCCAAAGTCTTTTAATTTAAAACAAAGAAATAGGTTGCATATTTTTACAATTTAAAAAGGCGGGTAACAAAAAAGAGCTGCGCAGTTTCAAGTTTCGATAAAAATTATGGTTTACTGCTCTTCCGCTGCGGTAAAAACGGCAAAAATCCGTTATTGTATGTTTTGTTATTATATTTGTATGTTTTGTAAATGTTTCATTGTTATTATATTTATCAAAATCAGCCGCTAAAACTCAATTTGAAACTGTTCGGTATTTCTTACATTTTCACCCCAAATTTTTATTTGATTCCTATAATGTTTTCGTTGATTGTGCTAATTATCCATTGAACTGAAAATCATCGATATTTTCTAAACTTTTGCCCTTCGAATTGTTTAAAATTCTTTAATCGTGAAGTTTTGAAATTTTTGCAATATTTTCTAGACCAAAAACTGATAATTTCTCTTTGATTCATAGGCGCTTAACTTGGTGACAAAAATTAGTTTATCTGTATCTGTTTGCCTAAAATTGCTTCAGAAAATGTTGAATATTTTTACTCTGATTATATTCTGATGATAACTAGTTATGCGCACAATTTCATTAATTGTTTTAAATTTCATTTGACTTCTCTATAATCATAATTAGTCTAAAGATTACGTGTTTCACAATTCAGTTTTAAAATCGAAAGTTCTGGAGAATTTTTAATTTTTTTTCAGAAAAATTTAGATTAATCTTCAATAAGAAGCCGAAAATTTTGTTGAAATCTTGGAAAATTCTGAATGTAAAATTACCCATCTTTCTTGCAAATTGTTAGAAATTTATAACAAAAACCTTATTTGTTTTTTGCTATATTTTTTTTCTTCAAGATTCTTCGAATTTTGTTGAAGAATCTTTGATATTTTCTTGCCAAATCAACCAAGATTTTCTTTAAGATTCAACGAAAATACTTCAAGATTTTTCAAAGATATCAAAGATTGATCGACTTGGGTGTGCTTAGTTTGCTCTATGGACATTAAATGTTAGCTTAGGCTGCATTAGAAGCAAAGCGCATCATATCGATGATGGCTCATTGCACTAACTTGAAGCTGGGATGGCCCAAAGCGTATATGATGGGGTTGCAGATGCAGTTGCTTTTCGCAATCAAGGCTGGCAGCGTAGTCTTGTAGGGTCGGAGCTGATGTGGATCAACGAACTGTCCGACTACTCCAAGCAATGCGTATGGCAGCCATGTGATGATGAACACACCAATACAGACCAAAGATACTTTCGCTACCAAAAGCTCTTTACCCTTCCGGTGGCCCTAAAAACATTTAAAAAACACGATAAAATAATAGAGCCATGCCATTTATTTAAGGGACGAAGTTTATTTTTAGGAGAGGACAAATTAAAACAGAAGGAATTATATTTTCATAAATCCGACTATCAAAGAAGAGGATGAAATACTTGTACTCGGGTGGTTTTTTTTCTCAAGGCAAAGGTCACGTTTTCAAGGTCAACAAATTTTTACGGCATTTTTCTAGCATCTAAAAGCTATTGGTCTCCTGAGCTCAAAAACAAAAAGTATTTTGCCGGAGTTTATTTTTTGTTAAGTTAAGTAGTGGTGAAGGTATATAAACTTTAAGTTTATTCAACTTGGGATTATTAGCGAGCAATATATTTTGGGTAGGTATAGAACGCAGGGGCGGATCTAGGATTTCTCGAGGGGGTGGTCGATCAAATAGATTTTCCGGGCTCTCCCAGAGCACTAAAAATACTTTGTTTGGCCAAAATTGTCGCGTTTTGCGCCGCAGTCAAAAAGAAAAAATTTGAAAAAAGCGGAAATTAAAAAAAAATTGGACTAAAAAAATCTCGTTTTTTTTGGCGCGCGCTCCCCCTCAAAATAAGTAAATATAGGCGGCGAAGGCGCCATTAGACAAATTTTAGGGTCCGTGAGCCAAAATGGATATATTAAAATAGTACAAAGTGGGGACCCTTTGGGTCGGCAGAAGGTCGAATCCCTGAGAAAGGAGCGTCCGCCCCTCCCCCTCCATTAAATGCGCCCCTGATAAAAACGGACAGCTAAGCTAAACAATACCTAACAATTTTTTATTGATTCCAAAAAGATTTTCATGAAATCCAAATCAAAATTTTTCTGTTGATTCAAAAGCAGTGCCTTCTGTCTTTTGATCTATTATGTAGTGAAATCTACTACGACTGCTTTTCTTTTTGGCCGGAATTATTCAAAAAATATTCAAAATTTTTTTTTACTCAGTATACTATTATGATCGATTATTATTTCGGATCTCTCAGAAAAACACAGATATATGTTTGGGATACTCATATAAATTATTCAAATTCATTCTACTTTGAGCATGCTTTTTCGTTTTACGTCTTTGTTTTACCATCTAAAAATATTGGCGCTTTGAACTCAAGTTTAAAAAGATTTCTTTCTGTGATTTTTTGTTTCATTTTTTGAAGAAAATGGAATATTAACACATTTTTTTCTGATTCAGTCAATTTTTGATTTTTTGTTGAACAAACAAAGTTGACGGGAACTTGTAAATCATCTATAAATTATTGTTATCCAGAGCTCAAATTGAAAAAAAATCATCTTTAATCGGTTTTTGTGAATTTATTGGGGTTTGAAATTTGCTATTTTAGCTAATTTCGGAAAATAACGTGCAATCTGCGTTTCTGTAACACAACTAAGCCGCTGATAAATGCGTTACAAAATGAATTGAGGCTAACCATTTGGTCTTTTTAGTAGGAGAAACGTCGCTATAAACAAATTTTTGCAGTTCACGTTTGCGTGCGAAGTGAAAAAAAGTTAAACAAAATAAACATATTGATCATTACGTTTCAAAATTTGTCAAATTTTAAAGTCTTCCCCATTATATTCCAGCGGTCTTGTTGTGAAGTTGTGGCGGTATCAAAATCGCTAATTAAATGGCTAGTTTGAGACAATTAATGCGCGAAATTTGCGTTCTTTTATCACGCTTAAGCAGCAAATTAAAACGCTTAAAACTAAATTAATACCAGTTTTTTTTATCTTAATATAAAGATGATGTACGCTTAAAATATCCATTTGTACTTTTACATGGCATAAGTAAGAACTAATGAAGAGAAAAAAAAAAAAAAAATTATGCGATTTTTTTATCAATTTTTCTAGCTCTATTTTTTCAGTTATCCTTTGAAATCAAAATAAAGTAGAAACAATTGATGATTTTCCCTGATATACGAGTAGTCTTGTTAATAAATTGAAATGAAACTGTATTTTTTCTAACTTTTTTGCTAATTCAATCAACCAAAAATTTTTCATCGTTTTTCAAGGGGAACCGGCTTTGCGCGGAGGAGCGAAAAGTGTTGTTTGTTTTACACGAGTTTACATAATGCAATGTATCATTCTTATACAGTGTTGATTTAAGTTAACCGCTCAAACTGAGCAAAATTTATATTTGTTTTTTTTAAGTGGGCTGACTTTTTTTCCAAAACTAAATTTTTTTTCAGTCAATCAAAAACTGAGCTAGAACTAACACTACTGACACAACTATATTAAAAGGAGCTTTTTATGCTGTCCATCAAAAATTGATAGATATTATTTTCTCCAAAGTTTTCTCAAACAATTTAAAGGTTTTCTAAGATAAAAAATTGATATTTTATTAAGCGAAAATGAAATTTTTTTGGCTTTGAAATGAAATGTGTTCATAAAACTTTTATACTCCATCTGGAAGATTATACTCCCTTTCGAAATTTGTTGGGATGAATAAGAGATTCGCCTTGATATGGTATTGTCAGCAATTGACCTAAAATGTTATTTTGGGCGTTAAATTTTGGACTTGAGTTTTGAAAAATTAGTTAAATCATATTAGTTCCGTGTATGTTTTGTTTTAAAAACTTTTGTTTCAAGCCAACCAAATATGAGCAAAAAAACGCATTTTAATTCATAAGTTTTCATTTCCGGATAATTTTAATCAGCGTTTAAGATAAGCATTGCATAGTTTGGTCTGTAAATATAACGTGTAAGAAATTTTGTCTGGATTCACAGAAAAAAAAACGTGTAAGAAATTTTGCGCTGCTAGTTACAGTCGATGTTTTTTGTTGTATTTCTGCTTGAGAGCCATGCTATCAATTGTTGTTCATTTTATTACGAAAATTGTTGGGCAACTCCAATCATTTTGCTAGACTTTTTTCACTTAGTTTTATACAAAAATATAACAGATTTCTTTGACCCCGTGAACTGCAATTTATAACAGGTTTTCTGAAAGAGAGGGGGTCAAAAAGGTGTTAAATCTAAAAACCTTTAAAATCTACTTTTCGCAAAAAATGCATGCAGCGCTAAAAATTTGGGCAAAATTTTTTTCATGATTTAAAGAGATCACAAAAATCAAATGGTTGACTTAAAAACAATTTAACATCCTATATGAGTCAAAAAAATAAGGGTAAGGTGGCCCGCTAACTAATTCAATATAAAATCGTAAATTTTAATTACCTTGGCGTCATTTCTGACTGATGATCTTGATTGGGTTCTTTTCACCTTGTAGAATATGCGCAGGTAGCAGAAGATGGAGATGGCGAGGGGGAAAAGGAATCCAGCAATGTACATGACGAGGAGGTTGATTCGATTAGACCACGTTCGGGAGATGAAGTCAAAGGTGCAGCTCGTGCGACTTCCTATGGAAAAAGTTCAGCAGACTGTCAGTCAATTTTTTGTCTGTCAAAGTAAACACCAAACTTTCAAAAAATGACTAAATAACAATTGAAAATTCAAAAAAAAACAACCGCCGCAAAGTGGGTAGGCTTAGATCTTTCTAGTTTTTTAGAGAGTACGTAAACATGAATCTCAACTTTAGAGCTACAGTGCTGATTTAAATTAACCGGACAAAAGGCGTTAAACTTGAAATTTAAAACGCGTTTTTCTCAAATTGGGTTGAGTTTAGGTAAAAACTTATGAAGACAAAACTTGCTTAAAACTTGTAATTTGTTTTGCGAAGTTCGGGCACAAAATTTTACCCCAAAAATGGGTCATTTTGGCTTTTCTTAGTGCATCAAAAATTACGCCAAAAATACCCAGTCGATCTCAGACATAATTATACCAAAGTGAGCCTCTTACGTAGCCTAACAAACTTTAAGAAGGGTATATTCTCCAAAACATTGTATAAGTTCATTTATTTTTGTTTGATAGACAAAAAAGGTCGTTTTTTTCTATATAAAACAGCAACTTTTTATTTAAAAACAATTTTTAAACAATTTGCAATTTTTTTTGGAGAATAAACCCTTCTTAAAATTTGTTAGGCTACGTAAGGGGCTCACTTTGGTATAATTATGTCTGAGATCGACTGGGTATTTTTGGCGTAATTTTTGATTAACTAAGAAAAGTCAAAATGACCCATTTTTGGGGTAAAATTTTGGGCCCGAACTTCGCAAAACAATTTACACCATATTAATTCTGCTAAAATTTTAAGCAAGTTTTGACTTCCTAATTTTTCACCTAAACTCAACCCAATTTGAGAAAAACGCGTTTTAAGTTCCGGTTAATTTAAATCAGCACTGTATCAGCACTGTGCTCAATCGATGGACACATTTTAGTCATTGGTGCAAAGTTGCTCACCACATTTGGCAAAAAACAGCGTTCCGGTCCTATCATATGATCAATGAATCCTTAATATCTCTTTGAAAAAAAACTCGCTAGCATGGAAATTCAGAAAAGTTAAGTGCTGATTTATATTATCTAAATAAAACAAACAACATTTGATACTTAAAACGCGTTTCTATCAAAATGGTTTAAAATTAGACAAAAAGTGAAGAAAATTAGACAAAAAATGAAAAGATTTAGCAAATTTTTAGCTCAAAATTTTAGGATTAATATGGTGTAATTCGTTTTGCGAAATTCGGGCTCAAAATTTAAAACCAAAACGACCATTTAGTCAATCTAAAATTATGCCAAAACTTTTGATTTAATTGCTAACAAAAAATAAAACAAATTGAGACTTTTAAATAGCCCCATAAATTTTACGAAAGGTGTTATTGTTTCAGGGTTGTATAAAAAACTTTATTTTTGTTTGACTGCCAAAAAGTGTCAACTTTTTTTATATAAAACAAATTTTTTAAATACAAACACAAAACAAATTTTAGATGTTTTGCGACAATTTTTGGAGACCATACCCTCTTAAAATTTTGTTGGGCTAAGTAAGAGGCTCAGCTCACTTCTTTGATATAATTTTACCAGCAGTTGAACCAATAGCTTTGGCGTAATTTTTTATCATCTAAAAGAACCCGTAAATGGTGGTTTTTGGGTTAAATTTTGGACCCAAAATTTACAAAATAAATTATTCCAGATTATTCCAAGCTGAAATTCTAAGCAAGTTTTTGTTCGTCATTTTTTGTCTATAGTCAACCCAATGTGAAAAAAAAACGCGTTTTCTATTTCAAGTTTTATTTGTTTTGTCCGGATAATCTAAATCAACACTGTAACAATTATATATTTTGATGTTTTAGGGGAAGTTTTGCACTGATGGTCAAACTGAGTTCGACTTACTTCAACATTTAGTCTTTTGTGCCTTTCTATTAGTCAAGCAATGGTAAAATAAGAGAATTTAGCATCCGACCACCAACAGGTCACCGTGTTCCTATCTTAAGACTTCTTTTCTATCCCATTAGCCATACACTTTTGCCATAATGGTAGAACACGACAAAAAACTTACTTTTTTGTCCTTACTTTGAGACATACCATTTCTAAAATTGTAAATCTTGTTAAGATTTTAATCCACTGCGTTCAAGTTGATGACCTTGAGCTGTCTGGCGTCATATTTGGTGCTAACATATTTGGTTCAAATTGTGAGGTAACGTCTGCTTGTAGAATTAGAACAAAACAAGGGCAGCAATTAATAAGCAAGTATCATAAAATGTTCCGAACTGAGTTAGGACCGATGGGTATAACTCATAGAGTAATTTCGGATAGGGTACACCGTCTGCTCGTCACGCTATCTTATTTTCGGCCGGATAGATTCGTGCAACTTCTTAGTCTAATACCGATCCTAATCTTACTCTTATACTATCTAGTCTCAGGTTGTTTAACTAGTCTCTGCTAGGCTCAATAGATCTAGGGTATACTGGTTTATTGCGGTTGCTGAAGTCTTCTTGGAGAGTCAACTAATTTCTAAGTTAAATTCAAATCTCTCTGGTGCTGAAATTACAAGTAATTTCAGCACTTACAAATAAGTGGATTGTTAGTCAGATGGATCATGATTGGTTAATATTAAATACTTTACATTGGTAAAATATCTAATTTATCCAATCATAAAATGTAGTTTAGATCAGGTTCCACCCATCCGGGTTTTACAGAGTTTTTTAGAATAGTCTTTCTGCAATTCAAAGGATGGATGATGGACGTTGGTATTTGGCGAACATCTTATTTCTTCTGGGTTTTCTTATTAGAGAAGTCCCAGATTCAATCGTTGTGTCTTCTCAAGACAACGACTGGGTCTTTGCAACAAACTCACATCTGATTTCAGAATGGTTGGCTATGTCAGGTTTTTCTGTTTCATTGATGAGAACTTCTTTGTGTTTTGATCTTGTCTAGGAATGGCGTGGAGATTGTGCGTGGAGGGGATGCCTGGTTACTCGGATCTGTACGTATACTTGAACATCGAGGTGGTCATTGGTCTAGTTCAATGAAGTCCTTTTCTGCGAAGTCAAGTCGTACTCTAAATCCTTTGAGTTGTGATTGTGAGCGGCATATTGATTGTAGTTGGCCATTCTTTCTCGAGTGTAGTGGGGTCGTTTTGTCTTTGGATGTTCGTCCTTGGTATTGTATTCTGATCTATGTATTGCATAATGTAATTTACATTTTATAAAACTTTTATTAGTTTAATATTTTTTAATTATGATTTTAGTTAGTTGTTTTCACAAAAGCTTTTTGTTTTAGTTCAGTTATTTTGAAGAGTTACTCACCCTTGAGTAGCTCTTATTAAAAATAGGAGTGTGGTCACAAAGCGTGGATGTAGCGCGGTGGGTTAGGCCGGCTATAGAGCATGCTCAGGACGTCCTTCCTGGTGGGTTAGGCCAGGAGTGGGAGTATGATTGCATGCGGTTTTTGTGAGAGGTCCTGTTATGTGACAACGTTTTATGTTGGGTTTGTTGTGGTTTTTCTTATGTTTTGTTGGTTGTGTCCTTTTTTCAAAAATCAAATTGTTTGTGGTATGGGTTTGTCTTTCGACTTTTTTGTGTTTTATTATTTCTTTCTTAGACTTTATAATAGTCTTCAAAAGAATAAATTATCCAGTTTTAAACTGGGTTAATCCGGTTTGGGTACCGTTGGTTTCCTTTTCTTAGTCATGCTGTTATGCTATGTGTTGTGGTGTTTAGTAAGCTGCATTGGTTAGTTTTGTTTAGTATATAATTCCTTTCCAACCGGGTTAAAGGAAAGTTTGAAACTTGTTATCGTGTGTTAGAGTTGTTGAGTTGTGAAAGCTTGAAACTGAAATTCATTATTTAAACAATTCTTCGTGGGCGAGCTGTGCGAGTTTGGATAGAATTCTTGTGCGAGTGAATGAAAATATCAAAAGGTTAGTACTGCATTTGCTTCTTATTAATTTACTACATAGAATTTTTAATTTTACTGCTAGTTGTTGGGGAAAATTAAGTTACAAATTTTCATCATTTTTAGATTTACTGCTTGTGGGGGAAAAATTTATAAATTAAATTACTGCATTGGTATTATATTTATTTAATTATTTGGTGTAAAAAATTAATAGAGTTTTAAACAGTTTGAAGAAGTTTTCAATTTTTATTTTCTTTTGTGAATTTTTCAGATGATCGTTGGGTGAAGGCTAAAATTCTAAAGAAAACATGGATAAAGAATGGTGAGTTTCTAATATTTTAATTAGTTAGTAATATGTATAATTCATACTTACCTGTTAGTCGTCGGGGAAGAAACCGTGGGGGAAGATGTCGTGGATGAGATCTGAAGTTGTTAGTAATTTAGCTAAAATGCGGATGATATTTTTAGTTTGAAGTAGTGGCCAAAGCAATTGAAGTGCTTTAATGGTGGTTAGTTCTTCAGTGCCAACTGCAAATTCATAAGGTGTGTTTTGGATTAGATTATATAATTTGTGATTGAATTTAGTGTTATGGATGAATTCTAAAATGGGGATTTCTATAGGTTGTACAAACTCGTGTGGGATAAGGAATGGTCGGGATTCTTCTGCATTGAAGGTCTTGGTGATTGGACAAAAAATATACATTTGGGTTATGGGATCATAATTTCGAAGAATACCATGAAGGTTAGTATCTTTAATGCAATATGTGAAGTTAAGAAAGAATGGTGAGGTGTATTTGGAATTGATGAATTGAAAACGATGGTGTGGTTGTCTGGAGGGAGTGTGTAGGTCGAAGTGATTTTGGATAAAACGATAATAAGTATATGTGTGTGTTTGTTTAGTGCGCAACATAATATCGTGTGAGTAGTGCAAATCTCTTTCATGTGGTGCAAGGAAATGAAAGGTTAGTGAAAATATTTGGAAGCGTTCTTTAAAACTTTCGTAGGCTTGTGTGTCTGTTAGTGCTTCTGAAATAATGTGGTCAAACTTGCGATCGAAGATATTTAGTGTAAATACATATGGTGTTTTAATGAAAAATTTCTCGGTGATTTGTGGGTTAGCGAAGCGATCGTC